GTATTTGGTTTACTACAATCTGGCTGACATGGTTTTCCAACTCTTGGTTTAAAATAAAAAATATTTATATATACATACATGTAAATTGAAATTTTATGAGATTCCATCATGAAAATTCACGTGATATTTTTGTCACGATTCGTTTTACTGCGCCGAAATAATTTTTTGCTACACATATCGAACGAAGACCCAACCAAATGTCATAACAAAAATCGGATGTTTTAAAGTTGATTGCTTTAAAATCACGACATTTCTAATTGATAAAATTGATTTTATCTTTTTTTTTTTTTTTTTTTTTTCCTGTCGAAAATTAATTTCTTCACTTAATATGAACGGTAATAAAATAAACAACAAGTACAATCGATATTTTGACATTAAAGAATAAAAAATAAAATAAAACGAATTTTCATGATCCACTTTTGTTTATTTACGAAGAATCAATTAATACAATGCAAAATTATATTTATTATAATTATCTGTAGATTCACTAATTAATACATAATTTGATCAAAGTGCCTAATTAGGAGTATATGGTTTCCTTAAAACGCGCTATTAGATTTGACTTTACGGTATATACGCTGCCTTCTTTGAGACGGCGCATATATAGCAACGGAGCACTTCGGCGGCAAAGTATACAGGCGCATTCAATGTTTATCCTGGACCACTAAAAATAAAAACTATAAAAATGTGAGTACGTGTGTCATCATCGTCAAGAATCAAGAAGAACGTTCGCAATCGATGTGACTGTGGCCGCGAGGAGCTTTCGATTCGTTGATTCGTGTATCCTATTTACCATTTAAACTTCCACGAATGTGGAAGACATCGGAAACAGGGAAGAACGTTCACAGAAAGAACAAAAACACTCTCAGTAGCAAACAAATACGCCAAGAATTTATAAGTTTCCGCGATTTTTACGAAGGAAGTTGCATAACTAATTCTTCATTATGAATCAGTTGACCTTCATCATAGAAACTCCCTCCAAGGTTTCTTTATTCCACTGCCTGATAATGCCCCCATTCCACTGTGGCCACGAAGAGCTTTCGATTCCTCAGATTATTTTTACACCTAGTGGCAGAGAAGCTTCGGATACACAACGACTCGACAGATAACTCAGTAAGAACTACTTACCCTAAACTTAATAACGGTTTATTCCCATTTTCGTGGCAAGTTGAACTTTTTAGAATTTTTAATATTTCGATCCCTTCGCCTTTGTTGGTTTCTCGTTCCTGTTTATTAGAGATAATTTTCGTGCGAAAAGGAAGTTTAAAAAAAAAAAAACTTTCATATATTTCCACAAAATCGCGTTTTACGTTAATTTCAGTTAAAATCTAAAAAATTTTGCAGAATGCCAGCCGTAATCAAGCGCGACCTATATAAGGGGAGCCAGCCGTAATCTAGCTATCCGCAATCGACCTTATAATCATAGGTTTCTCTTAACTTATATAGGGCTAAAATTTGCTGATTTTTAGAATTATGGGATTTAACATTCTATATAAATAGCCAATTTCAATTTAAATCACGTGACTACATTTTCATTAAAATAATTTTTTGAACATCTGATTTCTTAAAATTCAACTTTTCTTCCAAAAATTTTAAATCTTCAAATATTATTTCCAAATAGAATGCCATCTAATAATCACTCTCAAAATGATTCTCAAAGAAGAGCTAAACGTGCAAAAGCTTTTCGTTCAAACGGAAAAAATAAAATTCAAGAACAACTCTCAAACTTACAGAGTCAAGTTCAACAGGAAAAAGGAGAAAGACTACTTGTTACTGAAAAACTAGCAAGTATAGTAACTGATCAAGATACTCGTGAAAAACCATTAAGACAAAGAATAAATACACTAGAAGCTGAAAACTTTCGTCAAAAGGAGGCATTTTTGAATCAGTGGTTATTTTATAATGATTTGTGGGAAGGAAGAGTATTAACATCGATTGGATGGTCTGGGTGGTGGTTGGGAAGTTTGTTTTTTCTTGGGATATTTCTTGGAATTTTTCTTTGCTGGTGGTTCTTCGAACTGAGCTGGTGGTAATTGTGGCTGAAATTGTATATTTGTCGATAATTTCATTTGAAAATATATACTATGTGGCTCAATAATATCAATTTGAACTTCAAATATGATAAACATATCTCTTTCTACATCAGGAAAGTTCATTGTTTCGTAAAGTTTTATTATTGCCGACCGAATATCTCGAATTCACGATGTGACTTTTGTTATAATTTAGCAATACGCTAATAAGGTTTCTATAGAAAGATAAACTTCAGATGTGTTTACGCTCGAAGAATATAATTGACCCGTGACCTGGTAAATAAAAAAAAAATTATTTTCGATTCAATTGATGAATAAAATGTTAAAACTTCATCATCATCATCATCTTAGCGTACAAGAAACATATTTGTCCATGACAATAGATTAATGATTACCAGAACAGAATCAGATTCTTCTTCAATTGTTTTTGGAATCCCTACATACGTTGTTATATTACGAAATTTTATAAGCCGGACAAAAAAATCTACAGCTTAGGGTGGAAGGTGTCATGACGATCACCTGATATTGATGTAGTTCGTTACAAGAGAAAGTCAAATTAGCAAGTATAAATGTAGTATTTATTGTTGAATTACAAATAAGATTTTATGAAACCAAAAAAAGAGTGTACTTAAATGTAATTTTGAGTTCGTGGAACGTAACTTAATTAACGTAACTTAATTATTTTTTTCATTTACAAAGTTCTTTATAATAATGCGAGATTGACATTTGGAGAGCTGGCATTTATACCCATAATTTTGACCCTTTAAAAGGTATTTGAAAATTATTTTTTTTTTTTTCTTATTTATGAAATTTTCTTTGTGTTCAATAATCAATAACGATAAATGCTATTGGCGCATTCACTACCTATAGAATACTACCACCTTATGATATAATTGTCAATGGTGAAAATTTTAGGTCGTCAAGGATCCTAATTATTTATAATGAATTTTATAAAAAATGAAATCAAATCGTTTTATAACTGCGGCCTAAAGCGAAAGAACCAAAAAGTGAAAAAAAAAACAAAAAACAAACATGAAATTAAAAATGAAATTCACACCGCCCGAAAAGTAGAAAAAAAAAAAAAGAATAATTACAAAAAAAAAAAAAATTTAAAAATTAAACCGGAAAAACTCATAGGGCCCCGTATCAGTTTTTTCAAAAATTGAAAATAAAATTTTTTATAACGTTTCGTGATGATTAAAATTTTTGGTAAATGACCTTTATTGGTAAATAAAATTTATTATTTGGCGTCAAATTCGGGAAACGATTCTACTTTTTTACTTTTTGAACCCTTTTCAGAAGTCATTATATTTAAACACGCTATTAGAAGAAGTGTTTGGACACAGACATTTACAGTAAGGATTCTCATCTCTTAACAAGTTCATTTTTTTTTTTTTTTTTTTGAGTTTTTTATTTTTAAAAATATGCATTCATCGAAATTAAGATTCTTTTATATTTATTGAAACTAGCTAGGGATGAAAAGAGCGGTCTCAAAATCTGATCGTCATCATCAAAAAAAATTTAAATTCAACTTAACGTCCAAAGTTTTTAATTTACTTAAGGAGATCCCGAAGCAGAACCGAAGAGGAGCCGAAATGGAACCGAGAGAACCGTCCCCATCCCTAATTAAAACCCATCTCCTTTATGATATAATCGCAAGAGTCGAAATTTTATGCAAAGAACCGGTAAATATCGTTCGCAACTAATTGCAACTTATAACATATGGTTGCAACCTCATGACCATGCAGAAATATTAAAGTCTCGTTTATCACCATCATTATTATTCTCAAATTTATATTTTCATTCTACCTAATTGTGAATATAATTGCCTAATAATCTTTGCATGATGTCTTACAGACGTTTCACATGTCAATGAAAAGTTGATCCTAGTAAAGGAAAAACATGTGATTATTAGCGACATTGTAGGTATGGAAAAAGAAATTTTTTAAGTATTGAAGTTCGACATTTATTAATGAATGATGCGCGCAAATCGTTGGCACATGATGGAGAATTTTGAATTATGATTGCATTACGAAAGGATTTTCGAATTCTAAACGTACGAGTAAAGAGTGCTTGATCATATGTTTCCCCAGAAGTTTTAAAAGATCATCCGAATTGAAACGAAGATGAATGAAAATTTTTTAAATGTTGGAAAGCGATTTTTTTTAGGAAAGAGATGCAAAAAAATAAAAAAAAATTTTTAGGGAATGGAGCCAGCCAATACCATAATAAAAAAAAATTGTACCAATACATTTCGTTATTCCGTATTGATGATGTATCATGTTTTAAAACAGGGTAGAATCTTTGTTAATTGAAACTTAATGATGATGATTCATGCACTGTAAACGTTTTATTTATTTTTTTAATTTAAAAAAAATTGATTTCATTTTAATTTGATTTTTGACGGTTAATGTTTTTTATTTGTATGGTAACAAATTTGAGAATTATTATTTTTAATTTTTAATTGTTGTCGTTTGGATTGGATTGAATTCTTTTCAGAATAGATATTTACGAATTCCCAAGATTTGACATGTTTGGACTGTTACAATTTGACTATTTCTGGTAATACAAATTAAAACAAATTTCTAACCACATAAATTAAATAATTTAATAATAAAAAAAGAGAAAAAAAGAAGGTAAAAGAAAAATTTTTAAATCCCGTCAAAATAAAAAAAAAAAAAAGTGAAACATGGGGATGTACATTTTAAAACATTTTAAAAACCGAAATGTATTAGTCGATCGCACCAATAGAAAAAAATAAAGTAGGTCCATTTTCATGTTTGCTAATTTAATTTATTAATTTCTTACTAAAGTTAACTCAACAAAGTGATGATCTTTTTAACTTCTTGATTTTTTTCTTTTTTCAAAATCAAAAAATGTACTCGCCTTCCCTTTTTCAGTTTATAATGCTTTATTTGGAAATAATCGGTAACACATCCTGAAGGTATAATACTGTGAAAAGGCTGTTCTATGTCAAACAAACTTGCTTATTGTAAAACAAACACAACACCTACACTCACTCCTTCTATACAAGTTGCTTTCCACCCGTTGACGGGTTCTCTACTCTATATACCTTTATAACTTTTGCGTTATTCAGAGTTTTCGACCGAATCACTATACAATGGACTCAATGGAGATCGCCATCACTCATTATGAGGCCTTGAAAAAGTTTCTTGCAAAACATCTCGCCCGGGGTACGTTATACTTGCAACGTAGATTTGCAAGAATTTTTAAATAATCAATTCAAATGCACGTTGTTCGTTGTCGTCAAAAGCTCGAAGACGATCCTCAAGTATACTCCACACATAAAGTGCGTTCGTTTTGATTCACTTTGAATTCAAACTAAAATCTCTTTTTCTATCTTTCATTATAGAGCAAACTTCAAGAACGAATGCCAGGGAGAAGTTGACAAGACTTACAAAACAACAGTTTCAAGAACTTTCCACTGACGTATATGACGAGTTGACCCGACGACTATTGGATACAAATGAAGGTATTATAAACATTCAATTCTAATTTAAGATTACTTTGTGAATGAAATCTGGAATATATACACGTTTTTATGCTTGCAATCTATTCTTTATATTAACATCTTTTAAACGTTGTTAACTTTGTTTAGTGCCATTTTTACCTGTTAAAGATGAATTTCATCCAAAGAGGAATCAAGCCCGGCAAAAATTGGCCACATTACCTCCGAATCGATTTAAAGATTTAGCAAGCGACGTTTATTATGAATTAGAGCGCCGATATCCTGAGCTTAAAGATATGATAGTAAGCAATTTCTTAATGAATGTGACTTGTGCTTATTTGACAGACATTTTGATTTACTCAAGTATACCCCTTATTCTGATTACGAGTAGTTCTCAACAACAAACAATCCATCCTCCAAACAAAATCCACAACAATCGAAACTTTCATCAGATGAAGTCAAATCTCAAGCATCAAAGGCCAACAATATCGTACCAGAAATTAGTACTTTAAAGCAAGAAACCATTTCAGGTTTTCATATCCAAAAACCAAGTAGTCGACCAGAAACACCAAATGTTAATAATAATTCAGATCAAAAACCTTCCGTAGCAAGTTCTAACAATAATAATAACAACAGCAGCAACAGCAATAATAATAATAATAATAATAATAATAATTATCCTCCGGTGCCTGATGGTATGCCACCAGAGTATGGTTCTCCACGATCTCCGCGTAGTCGCACTCAATCTTCCGCCGCTTCATCCGTGTCTGACTTTGGACGTCGCTATGCTAACGGAATGAGTGTCAGTAGTTTAAGCAGCGTGTCAAGTAAAAATACGCAAAATAGAGATACTGTTAATAGTCAGAAAAGTAATAAAGTGGATACCGTCAATTTTGCTTCCATTGACAGTTTGATGGCTGATCTGGGTGATATGATTGATTATAAGAAATCAAATGGAAGTGCAAGCTCCTCACCAAAAATACCTCAGGGATCATCTTTTGGACAACCAGCGGTATGCTTCTATGATATTTAATAGATCATTAGTTAAATTTTCATCTAATTTTTTTTTTTTTTTTTTTTCATGGGAAATAGTCTTATGCGGAGGTTGAAAAGGTTAAGGCAGATTACGAGTTACAAGTAGCTACTCTTCAGAAACGAATTAAAGAATTGGAAATTGAACTCTCGGTAAATGACCTTCAAATATTCCTTCGATTTGTTTAAAATATTGGGATTTCTTATTTATTTATTTTTTAATTTATTAATTTATTTTTTTTATAACAATTAGACAAAGAGTAAAAGTGGTAGTTCTGGTAATGATAGTGCTAAAATAAGTGAACTTGAGAGGAAACTTGAAGAACAAAAACAGATTAACAAGAAGCAAATATCGAAGATGTCGGAATTAGAACGAGAATTTGATAAATTAACCGAGGATCACCATCAACAACAAGAGGTTCGAAACATTTTTTAAAAATATCTAGTTAATTTTAACGAGAAATTAATCTTGTATTACCTAATTATAGGTTGCTAATGACGTTCAAAAGGAAGCAACCGGTTTATTAGAGGAAATTAAAGAGCTTTCAAGGAGGAATGATGAATTATACGCTGATAAAGAAAGGGATGCAATCAAAATCAAAGATTTGACAATAGAATTAAATGAATGGAAGAATAAATATGATAAGACGAGGACTGAATTAAGAAATTTGAAAGGTATTAAGATTTCGTTAAATTTTGTTAACGAGCTGGTAAATTAAATATTAACCAAATTATTATTATTATTATTATGTTGCAGCAACATCATCTTTCTTTAAAGAAGCCCCTAAAGTTGATATTTTGAAAAATAACTCATTAGCTCCAACATCAGATGGTGCAATCGATGAATTAAAAATTATTAATTATCAAGTTGCAATAGATGATTTGTTGAGAGCTGGAAGGTAACATATATTTGTTAATATCAAATCTTATTTTTATTATTATTATTAAAGTATTAACGATTTTTTTTTTTAAATTTCTTTTTTTAAAAAGATCTGATGCACCAACTAATGTTCTTATGGCTATGAAGTCAATAGTTATTATCAGTAAAAGTATTACCGAAGAAGTTGAATATTACGAACAAAGTAAAGGTGCATCGATTAAAACAGAGGATAAATCTAGTATATATTCTAGTAAATTAAAGCTTTCATCAACTCTTGCAAATCTTATGTCAGCTGCCAAAAATCATGCAACCGGATATGGTGTATCACCAGTTAGCTTATTAGACGCCGCAGCAAGCCATTTGACCACAGCTCTCGTTGATTTGGTGAAATTGGTTAAGCTTAGACGTGAAGGTAAACCTAACGCCGGGTTTAAAGTTCCAACGGAACCTATGCCTATAAGTAATCATGGACTACAGAATGAAATAAATTCTGTAGAAAATCAAGAAAATGGAAGTAAGGCAATGGGTCTTGATCAATTAAAGGTACATTAAATTTACGTAAAGTTATCAATTAATTTTTACCAATCTTCGATTCTGACTTTTTTTATAATTTAAAAAGGGTTATTTGGAAGGTCAAACAGAGGAAATCGTATCAGCAATTCATAGTCTCTTAAAAACCATTCGCAGCGAATATTGCGAAGGTAGCGATCTTACTAACAATATTGACACGATCACAAAAATAGTAGTGAAGGTTATCCAAGAATGTCAAGATTCGTTTAAATCCCCCGCCGTAGAATCATATAAAGAAAGGAGTGAGGTGATATTAAAAGAATTGGAAGATAATGTTGATAAATTAGAAGAAATGAAAGATTTAATAACTAGAGATAGTCAAGATTTTATGTCAAATAAGATTTCAAAGCAACGATTAGCGAGTGCTTCATTTGAAATAGCCAAATTCACAAAGGAACTTGTTGGTTTGGTTAGAAATGATGAATGAAATTGAAAAATTAAAAAATAATAATTTTAGGAAAAAAAAAAGAGAAAAAAAAAAAAAAGTTTTGTAAGTTTTTAATGATTATTTTCACGTAGAAGCATTTTTTTTTTATTTTTTTTTTTTTTGTTGAAGAAAAAAAAAAAAACACTTAATTAGCATTATAAAATTATTTATTTCAATATATTTGGGCAAAAATCTAAGAATTTTTGTTTTCGATTTCTTTAGCTTTAGATTTCATTTTTTTTTTTATTTAAATATTTTAGTTGTAATGTATATATATTAACTTAACAAAGAAAACAATTTAATATAGTCATTATACATAAAAAGAAATATATATATTTTTTTTTAATATTTTCTGAAAACCGAATGTCACCATACTAAAGTTTTAAATAAAACAACGCGTCAATAATTGACCGGTCTGACTCTGATCATTGAACCGGTTGCGGTTTAAGACGCGTTGATCATTTTTGCATTATTTGTTTGTATTGCGAAATGTCTGGCGGAAGTTTCTTCAACTTCTTTAGCAACTGAAGATTCCTAAATAACAACTCGCGTGGGAATTTTTTTTTAAAGTCCAAGACGAAGAAACAAGTTATAAATGCATTTATTTTATGTGCTAAAATTTATTTACCTGGCAATCCACAAACCACCCTTCGAAAACATTTAACTAAAAAAACATTCATTTCATTATAAAAAAATCGAAAATAATCAAATTACTTTTGAATGAAATGCACTTCAAATCCTATTCTTTATCACGATCCAACTTCATCAGAAATTCATTGATTGATTTTATTGCAATGGATTTACCACCTTATTTTATTGTTGAAAATATTGAATTTAAATTGTTAATTAATAAGTTGAATCCTCAATTTATTTTACCATGTAGACAAACTTTAAAAGAAAAATTTGCAAATAATTATGATGCAAAAAGAAATGATTTTATAGGAAAATTTCACAAATTAATTCAAACATATCTCTCACAACATATATATGAAATCAGATCCAAAAGATTGTTATCTTGAATAAAAATTCATCATCTTGAAAAATATACTCTAAATTAGTTCTCAACTCATTATTAAAGGATAAAAGATTATTTTTAAATTCTTACTTAATATATATTGTATAAAATTTATGATTCTACTTGAAACTTGAATTAAAGATCTAATCTTATTTTTAGTAAAATATTTTCACACTGATTTTCTGATTTTATCATGGAAATTAAACAACTTATATCATATTTTTTTATAAGAATGATGCCAGATCCAGTGATAAGTATCATTTTGAAATAATAAAAAATGAGAATTATTACTTTATATTATTATATTCTACTTAGAATCCCAATTTTTCCTAATCAATACTAAAATTGAATTCATCTTAATTGATGAATTGGATGATTTTAGATAATTAGACAATTGGATATAATTCAATTGTATCTAATTATCTAATTGTCTAATTGAATATTTTTTAGAATTTTACTATTTACAATTATTTAATTAATCAATTAAATTTATAATTAAACTTAATCTAATTAAGAATTCAATCAACTTTATTTTAAATTTAAAATATTATTATTAGCATCTAATTATTTGAAAAATTTTTTATAAATGAAAATTAATAATAAAATTTATATGTTAAGACTTTTATAAATTTTTAATATATTATTTTATACATTTTAATTGGTTAAAAAAGTAGTTAGCAATTGGATTAAGTCCAATAGTCTATTGTTTATTTGAATTATTTGGATATATATAATTATCCAATTATTTAATTGTTAACACTATTTCTAATACAATATTATTCTAACCTTTTTTTATAGTTTATTTTAGATATTAAAGGTTTTTTATTCTAATACAATCATAAAAACCTTTATTATATAAGTATATTTTATAGTATTAGAACTCACTGAAACTATTAATATCTGATTGAATTTTTCTGTAATTTCATTTAAGAAATATTATTTATCCTTTTTAACAGTTTTTAAAAATATCTAACATTTCTCTTTATTAATTTAGGTAGTTTATCAAACTTAAAAGCATTAGAAATTTAATGTTTTATTTTATATTTTTAAATAATATTATAAATAGTTAATTTAGGATAGTTAAGAATATTTTCAATATTTCATTAAATATAATCATCTCTTCAAAAGCTAATTATTTTATTTTGCTTAAATTTAGCAAGTATTTAGGTTTTAGGCATTTTTAAAAAAATAAATTTGAATACTAGAAATTTGTAATTGTATAAGAAAAAAATGATTTATTTTTATGCATTGAATTATAAGTTATGATTGATAAAATTATGCTAATTGATATAACAAAATTATATGGTATAATACTTTTAACTAAAGAGTATATGTAGTATAACATTAAATATTAAGAACATTAAATATGCTAAATCTATTTAATATAATATAAAAATATATTTAATGTTTAATATTTATAATATAATTAATATAGCTAATGTATCATTTAAGATTATTAAATGAAACTTAAAGATTTTGAAAATATTTAAATAAAAAAAGGTAAAAAATTTAGTGTAAATATCAGCGAAATTCTAAAAAAGTTAAAATATATCAAAACTTATAAAAATACAAAACTATATTAAAACTTTAGTAAAAATTAGTAAAACTAAAGTAAAATAAGTTTAAATAAATAATCTTAGTATTATTATATAGAATTAAAAATATATAAATATTCTTTAAAGTAAAGTTCTAAATAATTTGATTCAGTCTAGATTAGAAGCTAATCTGAATATGAATTAAAATTTTCAATTCAGTTCAGTTCAGATTATTAATCTTAAAAATGCCAATCTAAATATGAACTAAACTGTAGATTAATAAAAATCTAAATTAAACTAAAATTTTCAGATTAATCTGAAACTTTGGTTTAATTATCTACAAATCTTGAAAAGAATTCACAATATATGTAAAATTCTTAAAAAATCTACAATCTTATTGTGAATCTTAAAAATATTTATAACTTGTAATTCTCTAAGAATTTTACAAAAAATTGTAATTTTTAAGAAAATTCGCAAATTTTATGATTTTCATAAAGTTTCATAAAGAATTATAATTTTCTAATAGTTTTGTAAAAGAATTGCAATTCTCTAAAAGTTTTACAAAAGAATTACGATTCTCTAAGAGTTTGATAATTTTGTTACTATTAATTTTTAAACATAAATAGTTTATATTTTTGTAAAAGAATTGCAATTTTTTAAAAGTTTACAAAATTTTCCAATTTTCAAAGAGAGTTTTATTAAAAAAATTGTGATTCTTAAAGAGAATTTGTAAATTTTTGCAATTTTTAAAGAGTTTCACAAAATAATTGTGATTTCTAAGAGAATTTGCAATTTTTTTGCAATTTTTCAAAAGTTTTGTAAAAAATTGCAATTCTTAGAGTTTTGCAAAAAATTTGCAATTTTCTAAAAGTTTTGCAATTTTATATAAATTTTGAAGAGAAATTCATGATCTTTTTGTGATTCTCTAAGAGTTTCACAATTTTATGCGAACTTAAAGAGAAATTTGTAATCTTTTATGATTCTCTAAAAGTTTCACATATAAATTGTAGATTTTTTTTGAGAATTATATATATTAGATTTTTTTTCAGTTTAAATTGAATTATAATTCAAAAAAATCTGAACTAAACTAAAAATTTTCAGATTGATTTTTATGCAATCTAAAACTAATCTAAACTGATTTAAACTAAAAAATCTTCAGATTAATTCAAATCTTTTAAAGCTTTACTTTGAAGATTATAGTAAAAAATAACCGGTTATGTAAAATTCACTAGTTTATCTTATCTGATGATTGATTCCTCTTGTATTTTAATTCTTTTTTTATATTTATTTAATTTAATTAAATGTTTTAATAAAACATATTATATTTTGTATTAATTTAATTTTGTTAAAGAAAATCAAATAAAACTTTATTTAACTTTTAAAAATGATTTTTAATAACTTGTAATAAGAAATTGATCAAATGAAATGTTATTACTACTAAACTCAAATTCAAAAAGAACCCCAAATACACCAAACCAAAAATTTTTTTTTTTTTAATTTTTTTCTTTTAGAAAAACTTTTTGAAAAAGTTTTAATAAGATGTATCTAAGAATAAGAATGAAATCCTTTTCCAGATTTTTTACCAAAGTGTCCGGATTCTACCAAATTATCTAAACTTTTAGCTGAAGCAACAAGACTAGCATCAATCTTTCCATCTTTACGCCATCCATCAACAATGGACTTGAGGGTATCCAAACCAACAAACTATGATTGATTTCGAGAAATTAAAATAGATTAGAAAATTTGTTTTGATGTGATGCAGGAACAAATTCGCTTCGAATGATATAAAACTTACATCGCATAATTCAAATGGACCCATTGGCATTCCAGCACCTAATTTCATGGCAGTGTCAACATCTTTAATAGAAGCCTCACCACGTTCCACTAGTCGGATAGCTTCCATCAAATAAGGCACAAGCAGTCGATTCACAATAAATCTTTCGATGACGTGAAAAGAGGATTAATAAAAGAAAAATAATTTCTCATATATATATATATCTTTTTACATACCCGGGAGTATCTTTACAGATAACAGGAGCTTTTTTCATTTTCATTATAACATCATTTAAAGAATTATAAGTTTCTTCACTAGTTTGATTAGTTTTAATGATTTCAACTAATTTCATTTGAGGCACGGGATTAAAAAAATGTAACCCAGCAAATTTATCTAGTCTTCGAGTAGCTTTGGCAATATCCGAAATAGGTAAGCTACTAGTATTTGAAGCAAAGATAGCATCGGGTTTAGCAACTTTATCTAACTGTTGAAATAAATTTTGTTTGGTTTGTAAATTTTCCACAATAGCTTCAATGATCAAATCCGCTTTTTCAGCCCCTTTTACACTATCAGTATTAGTTTCAATGTTTGACCAAGTTGATTCAATTAAAGATTTTTGTGCTGCTGCATCATCTTTATGTTGTTTTTTTGCTACCCTTTTTAATGATGCATTAATAATTTCCTTTCCTCTATCAATAAATTCTTGATTCAAATCTACCATTGTTACCTTAAATCCATTTTGTGCCGCTACTTGCACGATACCAGCTCCCATTAGTCCCGACCCAAATACTGCAATATTTTGTACCGCATTATTATTTGACGTCGTTGAAGAAAAATTATGACTTAATAACAATGGGCGAAGTAAATTTGTCTTGAATGTCGTTTTTGTTACGTTACTTGTTAAACGACCACGAAAAGTTGAAAGAACGAATTGTGACATTTCAAAAGAACGCAGATACAAATTACAAATTTTAAACAAATATTATGATCAATTTCAATAAGTTTTTTTTTATATATACTTGAATCTTATCAAACAATAAAAAATATCTAATGATCAAATCAATCATATCTAAAAATAAATCTTCGCGATTATGCAAGATAATGTCAACCAGTTAAGCAAGATTTTGACATGCATCAACTTTAAAAAAAAAAAATTTCAAGAACGTGATTATTTGGTATCATGTAATATTTATATAAAATATTCATATGAATCATCTCCAGAAGTCTCTTCACAATTCCCAAATTAAATAAGAGAAATCAAATTATTATACAAGGTTAAATTTTGTTTTTCGATTTGATACTTCTTATTTTTCTTTCCCTCTTTTTTTTTTAAAAAAAAAAAAAAAAAAAAAGATCAAACAACGGTAACATAAACGATAAAAAAAAAAAAAAAAAAAACAAAAAAAAATAGAAAAAAAAAAAAACCGACGAAAAAAAAAAAATATTTATATAAATAAGAAATAAACGGGAATGATCGATTTACTAAAAAAAAATCTTTCGACCGGAATGGTTATGGGTGAAGAAAGTGATGATGATGTATCAGGGTCTACAGTAAAATACAAGCAAAAATGAGACCTATATATATATATATATATATATATATATATAAAAATTGGTTGTGATACATGTGTTTTATGAAAAAAATAGTGATAAAAAGAACGATGTGGCATTTTTACACCATATATGTTCATATAATAACGAGAAGAATCAAGAATACAACAGATGATGTTTTTTAAAAAAAAGAATTTTTTCTTTCGCCAAAAATTCCACATCTCATGAGAAATGAATAAAGAAAAGAAAGATATATAAACACAAATTGAAAAAAAAGAGCTAACAAATATAAAACAAGAAAAAAGGGTAAAAGAATATATAAACACAACACATGGATCTTTCCGACCTTACCAATTGGAATCACAACCTTTTTTACGTTTTAGAAATCAAATAAAACGAAAATATCGTGTAGAATTTTTTTTTTCTTCTTAGGTTTTTGAAAACCTGATGAATTTTAAAGATCTTGTACTGAATTTGCCATACTTCCACTCATTAATCCGTCATGAGCAGGATTAAAAGTGAAACCGACGAATTGCTGCTGTACGGTTTCTGAAAGATGCGGCTCATTTACATAAGAATCTAGGGGAGTCTCTGAGGTAAATTCCTCATCAAAATTTGACGTATCGATGGCGGATTCCTAGTGGAAGTGAAATTTATATTTAATATTAATACTAATCCAAAATGAGAATTTCATTATTGTTACATACCACACTGGGTTTAAACGGTGGCTGTACTTTCTTCTGCATCAATCTTCTCCAATCAATTGAGGAAAAGAATGGGTGATCCTTTATTTCTTGTGCGCCATTATTGCCAAGACGTTGGTTGGGTTCTCGAGTTAATAGCTGTTTAATAATAATATTATATTAATAAAAGACGTTGTGACTAATAATAATGATGCATTATGTATTAAAATTATTTTGTATCCAGTTCAGAATAAAGATACAAACCCCAGTTAGTAAGCTTCTTGCTTCACCCCCAACTTCATCTGGGAACCTCAATTCGTCTTGTAAAATTTTTCTGTACATTTCATTGGTATTTTCATCATAAAATGGCGGCAAACCCGTCAACATTTCAAATAATAAGACACCCAAAGTCCACCAATCTACTGTTTTTGTATAACCTTGTCCTAATAATAATTCAGGGGCAAGATATTCCGGTGTCCCGCAAAAAGTATGGGTCGTTTCTGTTTCAGTCATATTTAATTTGCAAAGACCAAAATCGCATAAAGCGATGTGGCCTGAATAATCTAATAAAATGTTTTCGGGTTTTAGATCTCTTTTAATATCGAAAGTATTATTTTGAAATGTTATCATAATCAAAAAAAATGATTTTAAGTTGTTCCAATGATATTAAAAGTTAAAAAGAAACTAAGGTTAGTGAGTTTCAAAAAATTAAAAAAAACTATTTATCTATCTAGACCTACTTACCGGTAAACCACATTGAAATCATGTAAGCATTCCAACGCACAAAGTAATTCAGCTGCATAAAATCTTGATCTCTCTTCATCAAAACGTCCTTCTCTCTGTAAATGATGAAACAATTCACCACCATTAACAAAAGCAAGTACCAAATATAATTTTTCCGGGCTTTGAAAGGAGAATTTCAACGGTACGATAAATGGATTATTAATTTGTGCTAAAACTGTACGTTCTGCTAACGTATGATTAACTTCAGACCGAGAAACGATATGAGCTTTGCGAATAGTTTTTAGCGCATAGATTCGAGAAGTGTCTCGTTTGCGTACTTGCATGACCTAACATGTCAATAAACAAATATGATGAGTATAACCATCATGGAATTTTATTTAAAAAGAATGTAAAGTTGAGAATCGACAATGATAACTGCAGGATTCCAGTTAATAGAAGAATATTCGTCGTCTAATTAATAGTACAATTAAGTGTGAAAATATGATACCTTGCCAAAGCTGCCTTTACCAATGACTTTTAATAAATCAAACGCATCAATTGTCAAGGGGATATTGGCCTAGTAGATAGCATTGATAGGTTAAAAAGTTTAGAATAAAAGAAATGGTAACAATCCAAAATTAAAGGAAAAATGAGTATATTTACATGATCCTTCTTGTAGCAAACGTGCACATGTACGCTACCCGTTCCACCTTGCAGAGGGAACCAATTTTCATGCATTTTCTGTTTGATGTTTTTTTATTTTTTTTTTAAAAAAAAGGTTTAATGAGATTATGGCATTCAAACAAAAAAAAAAAAAGGTAATTTTTTAATTCACTTACGTTTGGATTATTAAAACTAGGTACAAATTTTACGCCACCCAAGAAAACGTCGTTTCCCATATCATTAGTATGATGCCCAGTTTGAGTGGATTTACGCAAGTAAATTTGTACTGATACATCAGACTCACGAGAAACATCACTATGTCAAAACCAGATCAATAAGTTACAATTATAATGCTAGATCAAAAACAAAATTATAGATAATAATAAACCTTTACTTCTTATACTCACAAATTTGCTCGGTATTGCCAAGTTGGATTTTGAACTTCTCCACCTAAAGCATCGATCAAGATTTCATTTTTATCAAATTCTAGTACCACATAAGGAAGCCACCAGCATTGCTTCCTCTGCATACTATCTCTGTTACCCCTTGTAGTTGTTGGAGTTGAAGAAGAAAAATGTGGTGGAATTTGTGGAGGTCTTATACCGGGAGGTAAAGAGATCCCACGAGCTTCAACAACACGGATGAGCAAAAGTCCAGAAGCTGGTACAGGTGTGGGGGAAGTAGGAGTTGAAGGTACATAATTTCCATTGTTTCCAACATCAGTTCCCACCGAAGGATTTTGAGGTCTATGCGATTGTTGCCAAAGACGCATTATGGACAAATATTTTTTGGGGGTTAATTTTACTTTGGGTTTGAGCGCTTTTTAAAAAGGACGAGAAATCTCTTTTTTTTTTTCTTTAATGACGAAGAGTGTCTTTTTTTAAAAAATGGTTGTTCTGAAATAATAAAAAAAAAAAAAAAAAAAAACGAATAACTTTTTGGGAAAAAAAATTTTCGCGGAAGTCGAATAGAGGATATTCTTATAATATCTTTAAAAACCCAAACCAGTTACTTTGATATATTATTTTGCTATTACTAAATATTAATTTTTATGTATTATATATGTCTTCTTTGTCACAATGCAATTGGTTCAATAAAAGATTTTTAATTAAAGTAAAGTTATAAATAGGATTTTATAATTTATAGACAATAGGTTCGGAGAATACAAATAAGTTTCTATATTTAGTTTGATTGCGTAAAACTATTTTATTTTATTGAAATTTTTATTGATAATTCGGAGTAATGTTTTACAATCAGATATGTGAATATTAATGAAAATCCTGAATTTACTTATTGGGATTAGATTATATTTAGAGTTTGGTAAATCAATACAACTTTGAATCTATTAATGGAAAGTATAATAGGTATTGAATAAATATATTTTTGAAGTTTTATTGAATTACTAATATTGTTAATTGTTTTAAAAAGGTTTCCCATCCTTAATATTATCAAAGATCGTTCAATAAATTTTTTAAAAAAGGTCTAGAATTCAACGAGTTTGATCGACCTTAGTCAAACTTGGTTAATGTCATCTTTTAGATTAGATCAATTATTTTATTTATATGTGTTCTTATCAATAGAAAGGAAATTTTTTGATCAAAAACTCTTTTTATTGGCTCATTAGATAGTCATATGACAAAGGCTAAAAATTCTAGATTCCAACCCTTCTCTACCGAAAAGTTACATATTCACATTTTGTAACCAAATCCAAGAATTTCCACATCCTCCTCCTACCATCTTAACCGTAGCATTATCAATCTTTACTTTTATAGGCTGCCATCTGTTTTCATTATCTCCAACTCCACAATTTCCGTGTTCATTCCATCCCCAGCTTAAACATTCACCTAGTTTAGAAACGATCAAAGAGTGCTCTGATCCACACGCACATTCCTCAATCTCGAACTTATCATCTAATATCAAATGCTGTGGTAAATAGTATAAAGGAACGTGATCGTTGATCCAATCGGTCACATTCGTTCGTTCATCATCATTCTTGGGATTATCCTTTCCGCACTGTCCATGATCATTCCTGCCACATATAAACAATTTACCATCATCACAGATCACAATAGTATTATTCCACCCACAATGTACGCTTTTAACTCTGCTAATTGATCCATGCTCGATTTTTTTAGGAATGTCTGAAAATTGAACTTTAGCTGGTGAATCATATCCTAATTGACCATATTTATTCAACCCAAAAGTAAAAATTTTCCCATCATGGGTCAGCAACACTGTATGATACTGTCCACAAGCCACATCTATCACTCTTTGATCTAAATCATGAAAGATTTTAATAGGCTCAAAATATAATTTTTCTTTCTTCTTTCTACGCACGCTTTTATTATTCTTTTCAACAATTACATTTTCTTTATCAACATTTGTTAATTGTCCGAATTTGTTGCTTCCCCAACCGAAGCAATTTCCCTCCTTATTCAAACATACAACGTGTCTTAATCCACAGACAACTTTCTCCACCCCCTCAACACCTTTTATTCTAATTCCTCTTCCACCCGTCTCTTTTACATTCTCACCACATCCCAACTCTCCAAAAGATCCTTTCCCGAATGAATAAACGTATCCATTTTCATCAACAGCTAAACTAAAATTCCATCCACAACTTACGAATTTCCATCGACTTATCTCATGTTCGTCAAACACTTCTATTTTCCTGAATATATCAGAATTTTCTTTTGATGCAACACCACATTGTCCATCATTATTTAATCCACTCGTCCATAATTCTCCAGACGACGTTATAATGGCAGAGTGATTCCCCCCACCTGTTATTATTTTTGGCTTGGTCTCTAAACTATCTAATGTTGATTCCAAGTTCACGTAACGTTCCTGATTCGCTATAAGAAACTTGCAGGCTGTAGGAACGTTAGTATCTTCGAACGTACCTATTCCGAGTTGTCCATTACCATTTGATCCACACGCAAACAACTTATTAGACTGAACTATTGGCATAACTCTTTTTGAAAATTTAATTTTAATGTCAAAATAATTTACGATCTGCTATGAATCACGTGGTCCGATCATCATTTAAAAAACCACGTTTTTTTTCAATTCGCGATTTGGTGGATTTACGTTTAACCATAAAAGACTTAAACCCTGCACAATGATCAATTTTTTTTATATTGTTAGAACATATATCAAAACTTGTTCATATAACCTCTTTTTTTTAGCCACAACCAAAACAATCCAAATTAAAAATTTTTTTTCCCCAAAAAATTAATTTTTATCAGCTTTGACAATTTAAAATCATGGCTGGAAGTCCCGTGGGAATCGGTCCCCCCACAAAAAAAAAAAAAACATTTTTCCCTCAAAAAAAAAAAAAAAACTAGAAGTGATATCTGTTTATCTAAAGGATTTAGGTTGATCTATCCATCTCTAGATGTAGCCAAAATCTTGTTATGATTAGAGTATCACAAGTTTTTCAAAAACTGCGATGAAAATTCAGGTGACACTTTCTGGAGATTAACGAATGAATGAACGAACGAAAATGATCATGTGAGATCCTAATCACGGTTTGAGTAGATGTTACATAAAAATTATAAAAAGTTAGAGTAACAATCTCATCTCATATCACGTGTATTTATGAATTAAAACTATAAATTGCAGATGTAGTGAATTTTTATTTGGTCATGAACAACCTTCTGGGTTTTTAAATTAATTAACAATTGATTTTTTTTTTTATTTTACACATAACTTTCTCTTATCTTTTCCTCAATACTTTGTCATATATTCTTAAAGTTTTTGCTTGTTTTTGTCTTGTTTCCATTAAAATTGGTAAACGAAGCAAGAAACAACTCCTAAAAAGAATATCTTTTTCTCATAATTTTTAATACTTAATTTTTAATAAACACATTTCCCCATTTTATAAAACTTATAATGGGTTGTTGTGGAAGCAAAGATGAAGACGATAATGCAAAGGTTTTTTTTTTTTTACCTTCTTTTTAATTCCATTAGATTTTTTCTCAAAGGTATTGATTTTATGATAACTTTGAATAAAACTTTTCTTTTACCATCAGAACGAACGTTCTCGTCTTTTATCTGGTGAAGGATCTACGGCGTATGATACCTCGTATGTTGATAACATTCTTATGAATATTTAATTTTTATACATAATTCTAATATTTAACAAATTTTAAAAACATCTAGGCATGCGAGGATGAATTATCGCTATGATGATGCTGTTGACCACACCATAGAACAAGAAGCATTGCAAAAGATCGTTCAGCAAACGGCAGAGTTTGTATTTTATTCTTCATTCTACGTCCTTAATTTCTTAAATAAGTTTTAATTATAATTTTAATTACCTTTTAGTAATTTTATTGATATATCAAACACTCATGCCACTGAACGTTTACAACAACAAGAGGCAATAGATCGTGCGAATGAATACAAGTATATTTAATATTTTATTACGAGAGTCTTTTCAATTTTCAAACCTATAAGCTAACTTTGTGAAATTTTTTTTTTTTTTTTTTTTTTATAGAGAATTGATGGGTTCAATTAAACTTGATCCAAATACCCTACAAAAAATACAAGAAAAGAGTGACACATTACCGAAATTGCGTCACAAAATATCAACGTCACTGCAATCTCAACAGGTTGCTGCACAAGGTGGTGCGACGGATTTACCTCCACATGTCGTGTTGGGTAGCGGGGGAGTTACACGAGAGGATCAGGAGTGGGTAGGTTGGGACAACTTTCTTTTATTCTCAAACGAAGGATTTAATTTATTGATTTGTTCCTTATTGTTCTTTATAAAGCTGACGAAAGCGATAGATGAAATGCATGAAGCTATTGAACATATAGAAGTTGAATATGTCGGTGATTTAGTAGTTCCTTTGACATGGGCTAACTCTGCACCAATTCATGCTATTCATGGATGAAACTTTTTTTTTTTTAAATCAAATAATTCATAGACATTTTTTTTTGTATATATATATTTATTTATTTATATATGGGTGTGATGATTATAAGCGGTTTCTCCTTTATCAGATTATTCAGATTGGACACTAGCATCCCCATTTATTGAGTTCAACTGATTAGTCTAACAAATCCCATTCCTTTCTTTTGCTATAGCATATTTTTTATGATCTAGGAGAAGTATGACGACTTATTACTAACATTTATTCTTTGCTTTCATTTATCTGAACAATTTTGGGAAAGCAAAAGAAAATTTAAGTTAAAGAAAAAAGAAACTTTTTATTTTTATACTTAAATATATTAATGCATATACATTCGTTATTGTTGAAGAACTGACAAATCACGTGAATTTATATGCGATTGCATTAATAATAATTATTGAATCAATGACCTAATTATTTATTATGGTACAAAGAAAAATTTTTTTTTTGTCAAATGAATTAGATAATAAACAATATTTAATCAAAGAAGTCAGGGAAATCAAAAAAAAAAAATTACAAATTTACCAAAAAGGTATCAAATAAAAAAAAAAGTTTTAAATGAAATATCCTAATTTCTTTTTGTCTAGCTGTATGACCACCCACTTTTGAAATTTAAAATTAAACCTTACAAACATATGATTAATTATTGAAAAAAGATCATCTGCATGTGGGGATCACTTCAATCCTTGAGCATCTAACTGGCTTTGGCAATAAGTAAAGAGGTTTAACGCCATTCCAATTAATGATTATTTTTATAATCATCATCAATTTCTTTCTCAATGTTTATTATGTTCAATAATGCTCTAATCAGTTTGTTTGATTGTCAGATAACAATTTGATTCAACAGCAACAAGAAACGTCTATTATCAATTTTATAAAAAATCCTTTCACGGTTCCGGAATATACATTTCAAGCCATGCTTTTTTCATATTGGATTTTAATTTGAAAGCGCGCAAATTTCTCAATTTTTTGAATAGACTTGGATTATTCATATTATTTCTACGACGAGTTAAAACAATTTCTCAATCTCGATATGCAAAACTCTTCACTTAACACTTTTTAGATTGATCATATGAAAAGATTTTATTTAAAAAAAAAAAAAAAAATTTGATGACGATTAATTAACGTAAATAAAGTATTACTCTATTGTTATCGCTTGTTATTGTCAACTTATTCTATGAATGAAAAATATTTACAAAAAATAAATGTTAAAAATAGGTATCAATAGATTATAATATTAAAATTATACAAAAGTTATTACATTTTTAAGCAAATTTAATGCCTAAACTTGGTGACTTTCTGTTAACGTAAAAAAAAAAAAAAAAAAAAAAAAGATGTAGCGAAAAAAAAAAACCAAGTATTCTCTTAAACCAGGTAAACAACGGAAGTTTTATTCAACCTTATTAGAATTCCTGAAGTTTACATCTTAATCGGAATATTTTCTTTTATCAAAGTTTTTTCTTTTTTCTTTTTATACTGAATAACTTCAATTTAAATAGTCAAGTTGATATTTTATCAATTCATCAGAACTTTCAAATTTCATGTCGCACCCTAAGAGATCATTATATAAAAAGATTTCATCATTTATATGGGTTGCTTTATGAGTTTCAAGTAAATTTGTTGAAAATAAATTTGGAGTTTCTTCGATCGCTAATGCATCGTATGAGAAATTGTCTTCCTGCGGCATAAACATGTTCGTTGTTGATAATAAGCCATCAGCTTCTTGACATATTCCTTCTTGAAGATATACCGCTGTTGATGTCGAGCTCGTCGACGAACAATCTGTTTCAATCTCCAAATTGTCAAGAGGTAAATCTTGAAATTCCAAACACGATGGCTCTGTTAATATCTCTTGACATAAAATCTCATTATGAATGAACTTTTTCATTTCCTTCATATGTTCTTCTATCAAATCATCAATATCCCGACGACATTCCTCAACAGGTTCCTTTTATTAAAAAAGGGAATCCTTTCATTAATACGTTTGGCTAAAAAAAGAAGAGGGGGGAATGTAAACCTTACCTTTTCGGTTAATGATTGACACGTGTCAAGTGGTTTCGACATTTCCGGACAACTATCTTGAAGTAACCATTCAATTGAATTTTCATTGAGATCCATGTCACAATTGGTCAAACCTAAATCGAAAATCGTCGAATCTTTTGAGATTTCCTGCATGACCTTCGTTCCATCTATTATATCTTGTAATGAAATTGTAGTGTCTTTATCGGGAGTAACAAAGTATGATAATGAATTGGATGATGATTGTATTGAATTTTGAAGTTGTGATTGGGTTAAGAGATGAGAGTTACAATTAAAATCTAATTCCATGGGTGAAGTTTGCTGACTTGATATTGGGGATATGATTGATGACGGCGTTATCGAGAATGCATTATTTGACAATGATGATTGTTGCTGTAAAACTTGATCTATTATGAAATTCGTAACGTTGAGACTATCCGTTATTGATGAAGGTTGAGATATGATCGAGGTGATTGAAGGAATTGTGAATTTGGAATAAACGTGATTGCATTTTTTCGTTTGATCCTGAAAGTCGTAATTGGGTTGAGCATAATTTTGATCAATTGGGGCGAGAGCGTCCAAGGTAACGTAATTATTCTCGATCATGGATGGATCTATTAATTGATTACATAAATTCCAGTTTTGTTGTTGTTGTAACGTGAAATCTTGTGGCTGAACGAATGATGAATTTTCACCTACTATTTTTTTTTTTTACAAGCGAAAAGGAATAAAAAAAAAAATTTTTTCTTTCGTTAAAATATTTTTCACTTTTAAAAAGGAAAGAGGGATAAAAAAAATTTTTTTTTTTTTTTATAAAAAATTAAGACGAAGGAATTAATTAATTATATCACCTCCAAAGCATAGATCAAACGAATTCAAATTATAATAAGGGTGAACGTGCATCATCTTTTCGATTATTTTATAATTCCTTAAAACTTTTTATGTATTGTATAAATTTTTTTTTTCTTATTTAAAAGATAAAAAAGTGAGATGTCAAGTGAAAAAAAAAAAAAAGTGGAGAAAATTTATTAAATTTCAACTGAAAAATTTTTCGAGATACATAATTTTTTTTTATATATATAAAGAATTATTGAATCAATTTATATGGTAATAGATCATATGTAAATCATAATGCAGTTTGTAGGATAGTAATAATAAATTATAATCAAAAGGGCTTGCATATCATACATTTATATGTATAAATATATATCCCAGGTGATTGCATTGGATAAGTTAAAACGGTATGCAATCTATCGTCACTGTTGATTTGTTTATACAAAATAAAAATAATTTTAATTTTAAATAACGTTTTGTATCATTTTAGAAAAAAATTTGTTTACCCAAATTTGGTTATAAATTCTTTTATATAATTTATTCAAACAATACAAATATTTTCATTTATGAACCCAAATAAAAAAAAAAAATAAAAATAATATTTAATAATAATAATAATGTATTGGATTTTGATTTCCCTTTTCTCTTTTTTTTTTTTTCATTCCCCCCCCCCTCCCCAAATATTTGTTCACTTTTACTAAATCATGATTCCGTTATTGACGAAGATCATTATTAATGAAATAATTTTTTTTTTTTTTGTGTTGCGCTTTGAATCCATCTTTTTTCAACTTATGGAACATTCTTTTTTTTTTATACGCCTTTTATCAAGACACACATTTTTAGTTAAGGGTCATTTACATTAAGTCGCCCATTCCGTCTTCTCTTTATCAAGAAAATTTCAAGGACATTGTAGACTTGTATTCTCGAATTAGCTAAAAAGGGTGTTTGAATCGTTCGATTCACGTGATTGAAGAATGGGCTTTTTTTTTTTTTTCTTTCTTGTTATTTATTAAGGTGAAAAACTGATACAAACTGAATGATTTAAAATGAATAATACCTTTTGGCGACAAATTTTCCAAAAAAAAAAAAATAAATTTTTTTTTTTAAAAAGGAAACAAAAAGAAGCAACATACAGTTAGTCTCCTTGGCAAAAAAATTCCCATGGAACGAATGATCACTCAAATTAGATTAATACCTGCTTAAACGACTTTCCAGAATCAGTTTAATTTGCAGAATCCCATGTAAAGATCTCGCATTCAACTGCGATAATATGATATAGATAGGAATTATATGGATAGGAAAACTAAATATCATTAAAAAAAAAACTTTTTTTTCTCAAGCGAATCTCACATTTTTAAGGTTACGGATCGATTCCCAATTAACATCCTGTTATCTCTATTGAATTTATTGAAAAACGAATCCGACTCCCCATCGTTATGTTTTGGGAAAGGATAAAGTCGTGTGTCAAAAAAAAAAAGATCATCCATTTTCCCACAAAATGAACGTTGCTGCGCCATGATGTTTGATTTTTTAATCGCATCGCATAATTCTTGTTATTGTCTCATGGATACGGAAATGAAACCATTTTTGGCCTAATTGGCTTGTTCAATTGTTTGCCGAGTGTAACGATATAAATACATATTCAAGTCCTTCTAAGGGATTCAATATTTTTTTTTTTTGAATTTTTTTTCGGATATAAGAATCAAAAAAAAAAAACTTGTTGAATAATATATATATACTTTTTTTTTTTTCATCCTTTTTATTTTCTCATTGATAAACATAAATAACATTATACGATACCGAGTATAGTTTACCATTTCTGGAAATGACAGATACTATTGACAACATCAATGTACAACCACTCGCATTTGTACATAATAATGAACTAGTTTGTATTGAGGACGGAAATGAACAAGGAAATCAAAGATTTTCTTGCTTCAAGATTTTTAAATTAAAGGTATATATTTATACTGATTGAATCATTGTGCTCTCGGGTTTGCCGCAGTTGACCTCGTTGCCGCAGCATTCACAATCGTTTCACTCTTTTTTTGGGAAAAAAAATATATATATATATTTCGATTAGGGACCCATTGACGTGAATTATGTGATTAATTCAATCTTTCCTCCCTCCGAAAGAAATTCTTATGATTTAAATGTTTGCGAATATAATGGAAAATCTGCAAAGGTAAAGTTTGTGAGCTCTTTTTTTTTTTTAAAAAAAAAAAATTTTAAAATTAAAATCTTTTTATTAGGTTAAGTTTCAATATAAGGGTCAAACCCCTACGGATTTGATTAAACACATGAAAAATGCCGCGGCAAAGTTTTTTCATATATCCGAAAACGGACTTGCTGACTGGGCAGCATCGGATACCGTCACTTTTAAATCGATTTATCGGAATGTTGACTCAACTTCCACACAACAGCCACCTGACGATGACTATGTTTCGGACATGTCAACCTCCTCGTCACTTGAACAACTTTATCCGATTATAGATGAAGAGGAATTTGAACGAGAGATTCAAGAATTGTCTAAAAGGATTAATTCAACAGAACCACATTTATTGAATTACGATTTAGAAAAGATATTTCATCAATCATTTCAAAGAAAGGATATGTCCGTCACCTATCGTGATTTGTCAACTGAATATTTTAGTCAAATACAAGAAATTGTATGTTTCATTGGTAAACCTTTTGATCTCAAAAAAATCGATCGATCGATTTTAGGTTCCGAGAAGGTCATCAACAATTTGACAAAAGTCGATCGTGCGATTTTATGTCCCGAGCAGGTCATCAACGATTTGACTAGAGTTTTATATAAACATGTTGAAAGTTATATCAATAAAAGAGGTTTGGTAAGCATCAAAATTTTTATTTTATTTTATTCCTTTTGAGAAAATAATTTTTCACAAAAATCGAATTGATCTTCCCTTCCCGAATTCTAGTTACAAAATTATAAATTTGGAATTATTATTGCATTGTGGAATTTGATTAGCGGGTTTAGATCAGTACAACTTTCATATAAGTTACTGTCGGAGACTGATGTAAAATTTAAACAAATCCTGAAAGCACAACAATCTCATCTTATGGCTCATTTGACGAACATGGACCAAATCATTATGGATGTCTTGATCCTTTTGGAGGATAAACTTGATACGGAGAAGTACGAAAGACTTCAACGTAAAGTATCTTGATGTAAAAACTTAATATGTGCATATGAATACGGACGTAAGAGACTTAAATTTTTTTTTTTTTTGATAGGACGACTCGGAAACTTTGTTGGAACGGCCGGAGACTTCATGAGGCTCATTATGATTATTAATAAACAAATAAATGAGGAATTGGAAAAATTGGAAAACCAAGAAAAAGGTTTAACAAGCAAATTATATGTTGCCGCTATGTAAGCGAAATTAAATCGGATTTTAAAAAATTTTTTTTCATTCTTCTAATTAAATAATCCATTAATATAAATCTCTTGTTTTATAAAGAACAATCGGATTCGCAGCAGTTATTATAGGTGGAATCATTCTTAAGAGGAAGAATTGTCTCAGTAAAGCTAAGGTAAATCAGCCATCCTATCCATTAATTAAAATTGATTATTTTTTTTGACTTGCCTTACGTATAAAAATGTTTGTTTTTTTTTTTTTTTCACAGAAATATATCGGAAATACAATTGCTTGTGCAACGGGAGTAGCGATGATAACAGGATATACAGCTAAAGTCGAGCTGCAAAATTCTATACAACAGCAGACACATCTACTTGAACAATTAAGACAGACTCATGTGAAATTATTGGAATGGAAAAATCTTGGTAAACTATACATTGATCGGGACATTGATGAAATGAATGAGAATAGAACGATTTTGACCAAAAAATTTGTTACGATTAGATTTCAATGTAATGAACTTTGTAAAATTTTTGATTGAATTTCGATTTGCGAAAAATCTTTTTTCTTTGGATAAGAAAATTTTTTTTTTTGCATATACTGTAGATAATTGTTTATATTTAATGCTATTATTTTGATATATTATTTGTATGTATATATATGTTTAAGGTATATTATTTATATGCGTATTTGTTAATAATAAATTATCGTATTTAGAAAGGAAGTCTTAAAAGAAATGAATGTTGGTTTGGCGGTTTGAAAAAAATGTTAAATGCGAAATTATTGAGATATTTATTGATCGACATTAGTAAATGGGGAGTAACCATATCAGTTCAGTCTTCGATCCCGGTTCAATAATTTAACAATGAACGCGGACTAAAAAAAGAAATTCGAAATTTAAAACTTTTGCGAATTCGATCTATAGACTTATGAAATTCTGTTCTGGAATGTTAGTATGCAACCTTATACGATTTTATACTTTTATGTGTGCTTAAAATCATTAATGTTCAATTGAGAAGGGTCGAGTTGTACAGATTCTAATATATAAAAAAATCAAACATTAGTTCTTTTTTTATCTAAATAAGGCTTTTGAAGATAGAAATGATCAATTACCCAAATATTCCATGCTTGATAAGTTATCGTAATGCTCATAATAATCATCAGCATTTCTTGGTTCAGGAAGGCTATTAAACTGAAGTAACCTGCTTGTATATATGGCTTTTGGATGCGTTTCATATGTGAAGGCCGAGCCGATTGATTGTATACTTCCGATCGAGAACTTTTTATTAAAATCTTCTGCCTCTTTCAGTTGCTGAAAAAATTCCGTTCGATTATCTTTACTATGTCTCTCCCATTGGGTCAAGATTTCTCTAATTTCACTCGCCTTTGGACGATTTAACGGATTAGCGTCCAAACATCTTTTGTTTAAATGTAAAATTAATGGTGGCACTTTGATATTATTAAATCGGGGTCTTAATCCCTGACAAATATTTAATGCCAAAGATTCATCATGAGCCTTATCATAATAAGGAGGAAATCCCGAAACCACCTCATACATGATCATACCAAAACTGTAAATATCAGAAGATTGAGTGTAATGTTGTCCTCGCAAAATTTCAGGAGCTGTGTAAGGTAAAACGCCATACACACTATGATTTGTGCCTTTGTTTTCTTTGTAATCTGCCGGCTTACATAATCCCATATCCGTAATGGCCGTGTAAGTGATAAATTTTACTACATTTCCGATATGTAAATCTCTGTGAATGAAATTTTTTTCATGAATAATTTCAAGCCCCATCGCAATCTCCTTTAAATGTTGAATTTTATTGCTCCAAAATTTTTCGTAATCCAAATGTATACTTAAATAGTTTCGTAAACTTCTGTATTCGGCGCAATTCATGACTATCACATAATTTTTTGAACTTGGATCTTGAGTTATTCCATAACATCTAACGATTTGTATATTATCTTCTTCGATTAAGTAATTATGCATAGTAATCTAAATTAAATGATCGAGATTATAATTTATTACATTAGCAAGGGTAACCTAAACAAATATGATAAATCAAATTAATACCGTACTTCATTTATAAAGTCAAATGTAACATTTTGTGAATTATTCAAGCATTTGAGGGCCACATATGAAGGTTGAAATCTTCTCCATTGATGATTCATCGCATTCCAACTGTGAATATATCCATCTCTCCATTTCGCTCTGTAAACCGTTCCAAATCCACCTTTTGCAATGTACTCAATGTCATAAAATTTATGATAAGGTATCCACTCTAATAATTTATATGACGTTTTTGCATTCAACTGGACATTTCGAATGAATTTATCGATATCAGCGTTACCGCTGTTCCAATTATCGAAATTTCGTTGAAATCTCTTGGAATTGCATGAATGACACCATTGTATCGCAGTGTTCATTTGTTTGCATTCTTTACATCTTCCGTAATATTTTACTTTTTTATTTAAATTTTCTTGACTTAACGGTTGTTTCATGGTGGCTCGATGAGTTTTGTCTGATTAAGCAAGCTTTTAAGTTATTTTTGAATGTAATAAAGTACAAATTTTTAAATTTTGGATTTTCATGCAAACAGTGTCACGCCGTGTAACCCTCGTAAATTTTCGTGTTACGGGCTGTGTAAAGGTTGACATCACAATGCTGCGACAATTAATGACACGTTTTTTTTTTTTTTTTTTAAGAAAAAAAAAAATCACTATTACATGTTTTTGCTTACTGTTCTTGTTTTTTTACGTTTATGACATCCGTTATGAGTAGCCCAGCCTATCGTGTTTTGATTAGACACCCCCGATGAATATCGCTCATTGCATTATTATTATTAGTATCAATCCAAGAAAGCCGCCGTCCTTACCTTCTCCTCTCATGTTAAAGTCAAAAAGTAATTTTGGGTTTGATGAAATAAGGAACGCGATTAATAAAATAATATTCGGGTAGGTTTTCGTTCGAAATTTTTTTTTTAATATGGTTTTTTACGTGGCTGATTTGCGGAGTTATACGACTAGGGGAGCTATTATGCACTGTCGGGCGCTACTGCGGTTTGGACCTCTCTCTCGCGGAAAATAACTCACGCAACTACCTGCACATCTTATGGCCCGTCGTTACGTTTTTTTTTTTATTCCAATTGACGGAAAGATACTAATCGTTTATGATTTTAAGCGTCATCATGACTTTTTCTCGCCTTGTAAATGCTGATTAAGACATAATTAAATCACGCGTACTAGCCACAGGCTGCAAAAAATTTGTCTAATTGACTGAATGATTTATCTTTTGTTATAATTAAGTTGTTCCGATATTAACCGTATTTTTTTACGACAGCTGCTTATTATCTTCATCAAAATCTTTGAAATTACAATTGGAAATGCATGAATGTCTCGATAAATACGATGGTATGAATGGGTTGTTGACGAGTAAAAAACTAGTGACCGTCCGCTTATTCTACGAATGTAATATTATTCGAAGACTACGTTAGGATTAACTTCCAGCGACTAATAACAAAAGAAGACGGATGGATATAAGAAAACGAATAAGGAAGACAGACGATCAAGATGAAGAAGACCTGATAATAAGAAGTCCGAGAAACGCAATTTGCGGAATAGAATGCTCGAGAGGTGAGACGTTGGGAAGTTTTATCTTTGTGTTTCTGTTGAGAATCTAGAAGGATCTTATCCCTCATGTTTTTGTTATCGTTATCTTTTTTTCAGGCTGCTTTAGCACAAAGTCGCAAGAGAAAATAATGACCGGGAGGAGCAAGCAGAACATCGCATGTATCGAAATTGGTGTAACAGTGATTGTGCGAACTCATACGAGTAAGTTTAGTATATGGAAAAGAGATTGTGAATTTTACATTTTTTTTTTTTTGTTTTTTTAAAAAAAGATTTCTTTTGTTTTCTTTTATTTTTTCTCTGTCTTTCATCCAGTCTTATATCAACCACATTGTCGAACCACTTGCACATTTCGAATAGGAGACGAGAGAAAATTTGGCTTGAAATGAAAAAGGAAACAAAAATGCAAATCGCAATTGCTGAAAAAGCGTTTATGGACTCGATTATTAAAAGGAAGCGTGATTAAATGTCTAACTACTACCATGAGATCGCACCAATTGCTAACAAGCTGTTTGGCTTGGTTGAAGTTCAAGTAAGAATTAATATTGATCAAAATTTCTGGTTCCTATATTTACATGACTTATTCTAATTGCATAAATTTTTTTAAGGAACCGTAATATGATGTACTGCTGAGACACATTATACCCGCTCAAAGAAGAAATTATCATGGACATGCAACAAGAAGAGAAATTTTATTCCCGGAAACTTTCCCTATAATTAACAGTTTTACGTTTTGGATCGACTCGACCTCTGACGGATCGATCGTTCTTATGATGCAGATTAAACTAAAAGTCATTCAAAATGGACTTTTAGTAAAACTAGATGATTCCATTTTTCTCGCAAGTTTTAAAAAACGCTGTGAAGAAAGTCTTCCACGGTCAGAAATGATATGAGAACTGGTATTCCGTCACGGATAAATTTGAATTCTCAAAACTTATTACAATGAGAAATCCCAGAGAAGATTATCATCCTCAACTCGCTTACTGCGCCAACAATATCAACATCATATCAACAAAAATCTTATCCGATTTTAAGTACATCAGTCGTTTTTTGATGTTTATACGTTCTTTAGGGCTGGTCTCCTATTGCCTGAGGATAAACAAACCTCATGTCATTCAGAAAAACTAGGGTAATTAGTCATTTTTAATGACATAATTATACCAAAAGACAATTTTTTTTATTTATATTATAAATAATCAAAGTCGTATCTTGATTAATATTACCCCTTTTTTGTATACAAATTTATCATCATCATCATAACGATGATGTTTATTGTAATAAATTAATTAGCTTTACAATAATATTTATTATAATAATTTTAATCATAAAATTTTTATGATTATTAAAAAAAAAAAATTCTTGTTTTAAAAGCTTAAACATTTAGCAAAACTAATATAAAAGTTTTTAAAAGAGATGTAATTTAAATTTTTTAATAAACTTATAATTTAAGTTTAACGTTAATTATGTACTTTATAAATATTATAGATACTAGCTTGAAAAATTTTTTAGTTAACAAAGATTATATCAATATTTAGATTAATACTAGTTTTATATATGGGAAGTTTGCAATAGAAAGGGGGGAAGACTGCCGGAAAAAAATCAATTTTCCTTTTACATGCCAAATATGATTTTTTAGGTCAAAATATGTTCAAATTTAGAAATTAACTCATTTTTTATTGTTTCTCCCATTTCTATTGCAAAGGTTCCATATTATATATATAATATATTTATAATTCAAACTACTTTGTAAATGTCAAAAATTATACTTTTGTACTTTTAATAATATTGTTACTTTTTTTATTTATTTTATTTTTATTAATAAAATTTGAAAATTTATAGAATTATTACTTTACTTGAATTTTTATTATTTGAACTTTACATACTATATAATATAAATATTATATATTATATATTAACTTATATCTAAAAAAATTTTCTGAATATATAAAATTATTTAAAATAATTAAATATTAATAATAAATAAATATTTTATAATAAAAAAAAAATGTTAAAATAATTATTTTTTTAAATAATATTTACTTTAAAATTAATAAAATTTCCGTAAATTATTCAAATTTGTTAAAAATCAGTTGGTTTAATTTAATACTATGTTTGGTAAAATTATTTGATTTTTGATTGGTATTAATTAATATGATTGATTCAAGTTAGAAATAATTTAATATCAATTCATTCTATAAAATCAGCATAAATTGATCTAAAAATTGATCTAAATTTAATTAAATAAGCATTATAAAAATTTATCAATAATATTATATAGTTTTTTATTTAATTTATAAAAAATGATATTAAATAGCATAAAAAATTTATTTGTATATTATTAGCATATAAAAAATGATATTTATTTTATAAATACAAAATTAACTAACTTTGATAAAATTGATATTCAAGTAATTTTATATTTGTTTTAATTAAACTATCAAAGGTGATATTTTTATATTAAAATATCAAATTACATAAAATGTCAAAAAAGAAAATTTTTTTGCAATAATTTTAATATAAATAATAAATAAATAGACAAATATATAAACAAATTATATAATAATAATAAAATCGTCAATAATATTTGAAATATATTACAATTTTTTGATAAAAATTAGTTATATTTGAATTTATCAATTTAATTTAATTAATAATTATTATAAATAAATTGATTGAATTTTAGTTAATTCTTAATGATATTTAATTTTTGATTAAATTTAAATTAATCTAAAATAATTTTAGTTGCTTTATTATATATCCAATATTTTAATTTTAACTAATATATATAATTACTATTTTATAACTTTAATTTAATAATAATTAATTTATATATTTAAATTTAAAGTTTTATATATTTAGAAATAATAATAATTTATTTACTATTAATATTTAAATATTAATCTTATATTTTATATAAATATTATAATTTATTTAATAATACTAATTTATTATTATATAATATATATAAAATATATAAAATAAAATAAAAATGTATTTGTAACAACATTGGTTACATATCTTATTTATAACATCCTTTTTTATTTTTCTTAATAATAAATTATTCTAAATATTTTTTAAATAAAATTTTTATATGCAAATTTTAATTTGAAAACTTTTTACTTAATGTACAAAAGGTAGCTTCATAGACAAAATTTTAAGTTATAAACATTTCTTGAAATTTTTAAAAAAAAAATTTTTTGCTAAATTATTTACGTTACATCTGATCTTAAATTTTAATTGAAGTTGTTATAAATAAGATGCATAACATGTTGTTATAATTAGATTCATCCATAAAATAATATTTATTTATTACTTTATATAATATTTATTTTTATATTTCAAATTAAAAAATTTTTTTATTAATAAAATCTTATTACTATTTTTATATATTATACTTATATATGATAAAAAAGAGAGAAATTTAAAAATTTTTTTTTTTTTGAATTAATATTAAATTTGAACTTACTTTACTAAAAAAAATCATATTTAATTTATAGTTTATTTTTCTACTGTAAAAAATAAAATCAATTTAAATAACCTATTAGATTGATCTGAAATATTTAAATCAAGTCTTAAATTTATGATTTATTATTAAATCAGATTTTAATTTTATTCTGATCTGATTAATCTAATAATTTAAAATATTATAAAAAATTAATTTTAAGATTTTATTATTATTTTTAAAAATAAAAATAAATATTTATTATTATTAGTAAAAATAAATATAATTATTTATTATTATTATTAAAATTAAAATATAATTATACTAATTATATTTTATTATTTAAGTTTATAAATCTAAATTTTTAAATATATTAATATATTTGAAATTTTTAAAAGTTTAAATTTAATTATTTTTTGTAATTAGATTCCTTTTACTAGAAAAATATATTATATAAATAGTTCTAAATATAAGTAACTAACTTTCCATTATTGTAAAAAAAATATATATGATAAAAAAAATTTTTTTATTATTATAAAGTAGAGGGCAACTTCTAATTATAGATGCCTGCCGAAACCTTTTCAAAATAATTTCGTTATACCCTTTTCTATGTTTTTAATATAGTTTTGACAGTTTTAGCTTTTGTCGTATCGAATGGGTTTCATCATATCACTTATTATGATTTTAATATAGTTTCGTCTAAGTTTTGACTGTTATTAAGGGATTTCGTCTCTCATCTATACTTCTAATGATTAATACATAGTATAATCTTCCTTAATTTTTAATAATACTATAATCCTTCTTTTCATATTATCAACAAAATTAATAGCTAATTAATCAATCTGAGAAATTATTCTATATTTTTATTATTTTCTACTTTAATCCTTTAGTTATATAAATTTTTTTTAAAACTTTGTATTTCATAAGTTACTACACATTTTTTATGAGATTTTGATTAAATGATATAGATGGTCAAAGAAGTTTAACTATATCATATTTTTCTTTTCATTCCTTACAAATTTTTGAATAATATTTGAGATCTTTATTCTCTTATAAAACTATCCCAAGTTTTCTTTACCAAAAATCCTATAACTTGAGTCTAAGAAACTCTTTTTATAGATTTTACATATAAATTAAGCATCAAGATTCTGAATAAAACAAATTAGTTTACCAAATTCTCAAGAAGAAAAACAGCCTTAGATATGAACTTTCTGAGAATGCTTAACTGTTAAGAATACTTTTTGCCTTTTAACAAAATATCAAACCTTTTTGTTTTGATTAGAATAGTTGGAAAGTACTTTTATCTATAAAAATAATACGATTCTAATCAAAATTTTTATGAATTTTTGCCTATTTTAAATGTTTAGTCTAATGTTTTACTGAAAGTAATAGCTTGTGAATCTCTTTCAAAAATTTTTTATCAGATTCATTAAGATGCTATCTAATTATTCTTAAACTAACCTCAATGCCTTATTTTTCAAGTTTATATTGAATTTTCTAGTTAGTTATATTATATTTATTTTTTGTCATTTATATAATTTACTTGTCTTATACTATATTCATACTTTGTGAATGACCAACTTTTTTTTATCTATTAAATCTTTATTTTCTTTAAATTTTTTAACCTAA